GTAACAAGAATGTTTGCGGAGTGATTAGCTGCTTTTTGACAATTTTGGGGGAATTAAATAGCTATTTTGGACTACCTTATCACTTGTGGAAATGGTCATGCTTGGCTCCTTTTGCTGTAGTCGTTTTTGCCTATCTTTCCCGTTTTCATTCTTACGTAACAAGAATGTTTCCGAAGTAATTAGATGCTCCAGTAATTTTCTTAGGGGTTGCCAGTCTTCCCTATTTTCATTTCAACCTAAACCGTTTGCTTATTTCTATTAAGTAAAATTGACGAGAAAAGTATATTTTAGTCATTAAATTCATTTGACAACCCATATTATCATTGTAAACTGTATTTAAAAAAAATACACAAAACACAATTTGTTAAAATTGAATTTGACTATGATTGGTGATATCTTCCCAATTCTTAACTTTTTACATAGAACATTGTCATAATTTGGTGAATTTATACTTTAATTTGATTGTTTTAATAGTATTAATTAATTTGATCATATGAATTATTAAAAAAGAAAAAAAAATAAATGTATAGAACTTAATAATACAAGTCTAATAAAAAAATATGTAATCTGATTCAGTTTGATTTTGGCCCATAAGATTTAGGCTTACGAGTGGGACATGATTTTAATTTTTTTTAAATAAGACCAGCCCATATCAGCCTGTTGATTAGTCAAAGCCAAAAAAATCCATTAATATATGGGACGCGGACACAATAGTTACGGGCCGAGTAAGCCTGGACCGTCCCATTGATGACCCCTACTTTATAGGAAAAGAACACATAATCACTTTATCTAAAACTTGTGAGAAAAAAATAGGAAAAAGTAGTTTCGTGGCCCTATACAATTGCAAGGATACACCACGTAATACATAGATCGAAACTACTAAATAATTTATACATAAAACAAGCATCATTAATTACTGGAAAATTAGTTGTTACATACTAATTAAAAAGTATGTATAAGATTTGTAATTGAGTTATGTTAGGGATCCTAAATAAAATATCAAATGTTTTATCAAACCTCTCACATGGATGTGAGATCCACGCAAATTACATGTGTGTGGGTCCCATACCCATATGAGAGATTTGATAAAATATTTGATAATTTATTTAAAATCTCTAACATTTTCCTTTGTAATTTTAGTTGTGAATCAATTTGAGGGGCCCTTTCACTAATGGTCAATTACTCAAGCAAAATTGTTAAGCGACTATCACATCATAGATTTTTAAGAAAAAAATTGTAAGTTTATTTTGTTTTCAATTTATGTTATATTTTTTCACAATATTTTTATTTTATGCTATGTTTTCCTAAACGTACTCGGAAATGAGTTGGGAGTGGTGAGTTTCGCAAATATAGTAGAGACAAAAAATAATCTAGAAAAATATAGAATAAGTAGAAAAAGGACAATTTTGCCTTCAAATACTCCAGGGTTGCAATTATGGAGTATTTTTGTCAGTCTTCCCATTTTCATTAGTTTTTTATGTGTCAAGAGAGTTGGTGGAGAACTTAGCTCCAATTTTCTTAGCATGCATTTGAAAATTTTAAATTCGAACGATTTGTAAAAGGAAGAAAAAAGTTAATTATATTTTTTATTCATATAATTGAATTCAAATTTCACATTAGTTTTTATATATTTTTAATTTAAATAATTTACTTTCTACATTTTAAATCTAATTTTAATTTAGCACTTTCATCTAAATTCGAGATTAAAATTAACAATTTTAATACAATTGTCAATTTTCTAGGAGTGTTTTGGGAACATAGAAAAAAGCCCCTTTTTTTTTCCACTGTTTAATTGACTTTTTTGCTTATTGAAAAGTATTATAATATGGTATCATATCATTTGTGAAAATTGTGAAATTCCCATATTACCCTCTTGGGAATATGGTATACCCTTAGTCAATGAAATAAATTTTGATATTTCGGTAATTTGACATATGACTTATTTATATCTTGCTAAAAGAAAACATTTTTCAAATAAGTTGCTTTTTACTTATTTCAGAAAAGTAAAAAGTAGTTTTTTTCTAACTTCCCAAAAGAGTTTCAATTTTGTTCTCATGTCTAAATTGGAGGTTAAAATTAATAATTTTAGAACAATTGTCAATTTTTTAAGGTGTACATATAGACAAAATTAACAAAAATTTAGACCAAAGGACTAAAGCAAAATTAAACTTAAAGTGTAAAGGCCAAATTATTCAAATTGTAACTATAAGTACTAAAATAAAATTTAAGTCAAACTACAAGGATGAAAAATGTAAGTAACCCAAAAATAAAAATGAAGGAGAATTTGGACAAAGTCCCCTCATAATAAAATTTTAATGCTTATAAAAAGTTTTCATTGAAAAGTCGAATACACATTATTATTACCAAAATATCCGTAGTGACTAATTTAATATTTTAACCTTTAAAATGATATAATTTTTGATGTAGATGTTCATTTTTAATAAAATTAGTATTTTAGAATTCTCTTATCAAGATGTATCAAACAAGATTTAAGTTGACTATGAAATTCTTTCAAAAAAAAATTACCGTCGAAATTGACATAAACAATAACATTTTACTCTGTTGCACAATAAAATTTGTATTGCAAAAGAAATAATTCAAGAACACGCTATCAGAATATAACTTTACTATCATTCTTGAATAAGACATCAAAAAAAGAAACATAGTACATATTAAAAGAGTAATAATAACAACTAAAGATGAAATTTTACTTTCATATTTATAAATTAGACTTTACTTTTCCCAGATCGCGATCATCAATCCACCTAAGGCACCACCACTAAACCATCTCTCTACTAAACCATCCCTCTCTTTAACACCCTTTGCCATCAAACACCAACCAATTTTACTATTAGAGCCACTACAGGAAAAAGGGATATGGTGGCGTTTTTTTAACGACGTTTTTTTAAACGTTACTGTTATTAGTATTTAACGGCGTTTTATAAACGCCGCATATTCTATTAGACAAGACGACATCGTTTTATAATGGGAAAACGCCTCCAAATGCGGTGCCACACGCACCTCCTTTTGTAAAACCTTATTTTGAATCAGAACCCTCTCTAAGCATTTCGATCGAAGATTCAGAGCTCTCTCTCTCTCAACTCTTATACGCACACATCTCTCTCTCCCTCTCAACCCTCTCTAAGCTCAATCAAAGATTCAGATCGAAGCTCCATCGAAGCGATTTCGAAGCTCCATTGAAGATTCAGATCGAAGCTCCATCAAAGCGATTTTGAAGCTCCACCAAAGATTCATACCTAAGCTCCATCGAAGATTCAGATCGAAGCCCCATGGAAGCAATTTCGAAGCTGCACCGGCGAGGTAGCGAGCTCCACCGGCTCATTTGCAAAGATTCAGTGATTTTCAGAAGCTCAGATCTGAACTCTGACCCCTCGATTACTCGCATTTCAAGCTCCGATCTGGAAAAAATCTCAGTTCGATTCTTGAGGTATGTTCGGATTGACTCAATTTGTACGATTATTTGTTGTTCCCTTCATCTCTCTCTCTCTCTCTCTCTCTCTCTCTCTCTCTCTCTCTTATGGTTCTGCGATGGTGGAGGGGCTGGGAAGGGGTAGGTAGATCGTCGGATTTTGGAGGATAGGCAAGGGGATTACTGAGTTTGGTCCTGGAGGGAGGGATTTCTGTATCAATGTGCAGATACATAAATGATATATACTGATATATATATATATATATATATTTTTTTTAATAATGTCTATTGGAAATGTTTCTATTTTTAAATCAAGATGCAAATGATGGGAACTTGAATGGATAGGATTTTTGCACAGAGTCTTGTCTGGCCTCTGAGACCGACCATTTACTTGTAGATACTATTGAAAGCAGGGTGTTGAGTAACAAGGAGGAAGAGTCTTCTCTTTCAGAATCCAAGTGGTTAGAACATGATGAATCTTTGGTTGTTTGGGTCAAGGTATATATTAATGTTGTTGCTTTGACTTCTACCTTGTTCTCTTTTATTATATCATTAGTATAGTGCACATATACAAGTTTGATAGTTCTGGGGCGCTGTTTCTCAATGTGGTTGCCTTGTTGATTGAGGTTTGATTGTACAAATTAGTATGATGGCTGGTGAAGTAGAAGTTAAAACTTCACCTGGCTCACCTTTGTAATTTAGGCCCTTCTGTTTTCATTTTATAGAGTTGATTGAAAAATTTTCGGAGCTCTTTTCTTCACTCTCATGAATGTATTGGTCCAGACACCAGCAGGTAGTAGTGGTCTGCGTGTTCTTGGTTTCTTGTGATAGTTTTTCATGTTTATACTTTTGCTTACCAACTTAACTTCTTCATTAGAAATTTATTCTTCCTACTCTGCATTTAGTGGTCACTTGAACCTGATAATTTATTCACTGACAAATACCCACCATCTGATTCAGGTTTTTCCAGCAGTTATTGGCATTGTTCAGTATACATCAAATGTCTCTCTCTCTCTTTCGTTTTGTTGCTATGGGAAAAAAGCTGGTTGTTATATGCACTTTAGGAACTTGCACATTGATAATGAATATTTTGCTTGGAGGATTTATAGTTGCCCAAAGTAAGCTGCCTGATTTCTATTTTCACTTTTGAGCCTACCTTGAATTAGAATGAGCTTTTAATTTACCAATCTTTATACCACATTGTTGAATATTTCTTGACATTTAACCAAGTAAGTTGTGGATTCTTTCATGTGATTGTTTATATATTCGATGATCAAAGCACTACATCTATAACCATTCATTTCCTTTTGTGCCCGCAGATGACATTGAGCCATTTATGATATGGGGCTATTATATTTCTCCAGTGATGTATGGACAAAATGCTTTAGTCATTAATGAATTTCTTGACAAAAGATGGAGCGCCGTAAGTTCTCTTTTACTGTTTGCATAGTATCTTTACATTCTCAAAATTCTGAACATTTTTCTTATTGCAGCCCAATCCAGACCCCCGAATTCATGCACCTACAGTTGCGAAAGTCCTTCTCAAGTCTAGAGGCTTCTTCACGGATGACTACATGTTTTGGGTTTGTGTTGGAGCACCCTTGGGGTTTTCTCTTCTCTTCAACATTTTATTTATTAAGTCAATGCTGCAATATTGCAGCATTGACTTAATAAATAAAATGTTGAAGAGAAGAGAAAACCCCAAGAGTGCTCCAACACAAACCCAAAACATGTAGTCATCCGTGAAGAAGCCTCTAGACTTGAGAAGGACTTTCCCAACGGTAGGTGCATGAATTCGGGGGTCTGGATTGGGCTGCAATAAGAAAAATGTTCAGAATTTTGAGAATGTAAAGATACTACGCAAACAGTAAAAGAGAACTTACGGCGCTCCATCTTTTGTCAAGAAATTCATTAATGACTAAAGCATTTTGTCCATACATCACTGGAGAAATATAATAGCCCCATATCATAAATGGCTCAATGTCATCTGCGGGCACAAAAGGAAATGAATGGTTATAGATGTAGTGCTTTGATCATCGAATATATAAACAACCACATGAAAGAATCCACAACTTACTTGGCTAAATGTCAAGCAATATTCAACAATGTGGTATAAAGATTGGTAAATTAAAAGCTCATTCTAATTCAAGATAGGCTCAAAAGTGAAAATAGAAATCAGGCAGCTTACTTTGGGCAACTATAAATCCTCTAAGCAGAATATTCATTATCAATGTGCAGGTTCCTAAAGTGCATGCAACAACCAGCTTTCTTCCCACAGCAACAAAGCGAAGAGAGAGAGAGACATTTGATGTATACTGAACAATGCCAATAACTGCTTGAAAAACCTGAATCAGATGGTGGATATTTGTCAGTGAATAAATTATCAGGTTCAAATGACCACTAAATGCAGAGTAGGAAGAATAAATTTCTAATGAAGAATTTAAGTTGGTAAG